TTGCAATGTCCCCTTCTCATCTCCGGCCAATCAACTTGGGGGCCGCACCTCCAACACCAATCATTTTTCAAGATTCCTTTTATTTAGCTCCTGCCCTAGCTTCTCTCTCCTGGATGCAAGTGAAGTTTCACCCACCTCCAGCCCATCTCCTCCCTCATTCTCAGATTATTATTATGTTACTCACCCTCTGGCTTATTCCACCACCAGGGAAGGACCACTCTAAGCCTTTTCTAGCTTAGTCATCCAAGCGAATGGATGAGTTGGGATTCTGCTGAGGCCCCTGCAAGTGGCCCCTCCTACTGAGCCTGGTTCTGCTGAAGGTTTCGTCCTGTTATAAGGGAGTTTTACTTCTCCACTGTCACTACAAGCATGCTTAGTGTGAGGGATTGCCTTCAAGTCAGTGATGCAATCAATGCAATCAACTGGTTTTCCTTAGATAGAAAACTTTGAATCAATGTGACTGTATGGTCTGGCTTGCATCTATAAAGTGCCTTGAGATTACATGTGTTGTGAACGGGTGCTGGGTCTTCCAACATGTCAATGACCCAAAGTACACAGCCAGGATAACCAAGGAATGGCTTAGTAAGAAGCAGATCAAGGTTCTGGCACGGCTTAGCCAGTCTCCAGACCTAAACCCAATAGATAATCTTTTTAGGGAGCTCAAACTCTGTGTTTCTCAGTAACAGCCCAGAAAACTGAACAATCTAGAGAAGATCTCTGTTGAGCAGTGGGCCAAAATCCCTCCTGCTGTGTGTGCAAACCTGGTGAAAAACTACAGGAAACGTTTCACCTCTGTAATTGTAAACAAAGGCTACTGTACCAAAAATTAACATTGCAGTTGTATCATACAAATTAATAGTTAAAAAATCATATATTCTCCTTACTGGATTTTTTTTTACATTATGTTTCTCACAGTGGACATGCACCTACTGTCAGGGTTATGTTGAGGTTTGAGGACCCAAATGCAGAGGCAGGGAGGCAGAGGTGAGTTTCTTGTAGATTTAATGAGTGATCACAGGTATCGGTATCGGCCATTGAGGCCAGAAAAAAGAGTGAATCAAAAATACAAGGCAAAAATCTAGAAATAATTAAACATTTCTTAAATTAAGTGTATTTACCCTTAATTTTAGCAGGTAAATAAGATGATTTGCCAATGGAATAATTATCTCTACTCTTAAAATAAAATAATTTGATAATATGCACTACAAATAAGACAATGCATTGTTTTTTTTTTCTTATTTTAAATGTAAATTGTCTTATTCCATTGGCAAAGTGTCTCACCTACCAACTCAATTCAAGAAATAATGCCCTTATTTCAAGCAGAAATAACTAATTTCGATTTCCTTTTTTTGCAGTGTGCAGATTGTTGCTAGCGTAACTTGGCTGTAAATGTTTTGCTCTAACTGACCAATCAGAGGACAGAAAATGCTGATTTTTGGTTGGGCCCTCTAGCTGGCCAAGGTGGGCAAATGTGAAATCTGATTGTTTGAAGAAAACGTTCCTCACGAATATTGATCAGACAGCACTGCTGATTCTAAAGGGGAAGATTTGACTAACATAGCAATGCACAGAGGTTGAAAGGGACTGATGGGACAAAAAAATAACAACCACATAAATGTAATGGAAGCAGCACAGCCAAGAGAAACGCTACAAAATTAAGAAAATTGATTTTTAATAAATACAGTTGGAAAGAAGAAAATTAGAGTTTAGTTTTTGAATGTAGGTTAGTGCTTCTGATTGATTCTAGGCCAGAGGTGAAGACCTTAAAGGCCCTCACAGCCTACCAATACTTTCACTTACAGACAGTCCCCTCTCTGTGCCTCTGTTCTGATTTGCATATATACTAAGAAGGTTTTTTGTGTATCTTTGCTAGAAGAAGTTAGAATTACCGTAGGACTGATCAGGTATCGTTCAAATGCGGCGCTCTTTTCATTAAGCTCTAGTCCGAATTGAGTATCTAAACATTTAACACAAGAAGAAGCCTCAAAATAGCACAAACTGGACTTTTAGGATGGATGGAAAGTCAGAGGTGCCACAAACTCAATTATATAAATAGGTAATATTCAAATTTGGAAAAATAAAATTTCAATGTCAGATTAGTGAAACTATAACTGTAATAAATGAAGAATATTTTAATCATATACCTGTATTTGGACTATTCGCCACTTTGAATGACATATTTTGCTTTATGGCCATATTATGAAGACATCAGGGTTTTTTCTATTTCTCATTACAAATAAAAGTAATTCTTATTACATGAAGTTCAGTCATAATACTTAAGGTTTGTGATGTGATCCACAACTGACTTATTTTGTGCTTTTAAAAGGAAAGCAAACATTTATTTAAAATACAAATTTTTAGGCACGACTTGAAAAAAAAATTATATTATTTAAATTTTATATTATATGTTAATAAACAACAGAAGAGAAGACTACTTTAGTAAATAGTATAAAATAGAGAACATGAAATTTAAGCTATGGTTGTTTAATACATTGTAGTTTTTATGGAAATGTGGATCTTTAAATTAATTTGAGAAGGACATTTCTCATACTTTATTGTGAGATGAAAAGTGGGGCTCTGAACGGTCTCAATTAAGTCTCGGCCCCTGCAGGACTTGCCTTGTCTTAGTTTGACTTGGTCTCAGGCCAGGAGGTCTTGACTACAGCCCCATTTCAATGTGCACTAAAACCGGCCAAGAGGAGGTTAACTCTGGCTTTACAAAGTTTGCAAATCTTTAAATCTTCCATTTATTTAAGGTTTTAAAGCTTACATCTGATAAGATGTAAATCCTATTGGAGGTGACAGGATGCAGTTCAGCTGATCTACTGCTTTCCAAGGAAATTCCAACACATTAGTTCAGTTCCATTTAACAAAAAGTACGAGCCTAAAACTTGTTTCAAAGTTTGTAAGTACCTTTTCTTGGTGCCAAACCGCGGCAATGATTTGTTTTAACTGCCAGCGAAAAGATTAACCTGAATGGAAAAGGAATAACAGCCCCCTTGTTAGTCAGAACCTGGTTAATCAGTGCCTAAAGAGAAAAGGTGGTTTATTTTGCTGGGCTTTTTTTCTTCCTTCCTTTTCTTTAACATCCATAAATAGGTGCAACCTCAGCCTAAGTCTCCTTGGTAACCAGCATGAGAGTCAGGTAGAAAGACTTTCCTGAACAATACTTTAATCACTCCCAGACCTTCTTAAAGCAAGAACACTGGTACTAAAGACAGTGCCGAAATACAAAAGATGTAAGTATAGGAAGTGTTCAAGGCATGCAAATACAGAAATGCAAAATAATACTTACTTAATATTTATCATATTCATAGTATCATCAGCTGCAATCGAAGAATTAGGTTCCCCTTCCTGTCTGAAAAGGCCATTTAAATGACCTGACACATTTATTAGCAGTCCTTATAAAGATGTGTGAAAAGGTTTAAAATAAGCTGGTTGGCATAGAGACTTGGTGACCCCAAGAGGCCACTGTGCTACAGTTCTACAGCATGAAGACATTTCCAACCCCAGTACCACCCTCCACTGTGCTTCCAGTTGTTTTAAACCTTTTTACTGTTGCCCTGCAAGTAGATATAATCACATTTAGGCCACATTTTCTTTCCATTTTTTGACATATGAAGGGTAATCTGTTGGACCTAAATGTTTCTATAGTTCTATAACGAATGATCAAAAGAGAGTATTTTTATATCATATATATGTGCCTCAAAGAAACTACAAGATAAAGTATATTCATTGTTTTAAAAATGTATTTTTATAGAAGAGATGTACTCAAAATAATGATGGATATTATATATATACTTTTCACACATCTTTAATCGGAATACCAGTAATTATAAACGGTGCTGCAAGGCATAATAAAAAAGAACCAAATTCACCAAAAACCTCTGCTTAAGCTGATCAATAAATAAGGCATGTTTTAATTCAGCATCCAGAATGAAACGTAAGCAGCTTCTTGTTAAAATACACAAAGACACACAGATGATTCAGCATCTATTGTAAGACTAACATCTGACACATTCTGGTCAGAGGCTAAATTAAAGTGTAGAGAGCTAAAAGCAAAAAGGAAGCAAGACACAAACAGTGTTTCTGTTAAACATATTGAACGCCTCACAGCCAGGGAGGTCAGACACTCTGATAGTGTAATTAAGGTCTTTTCCAGTGTACGACCTGTCTTCCCTCTTTTATTTATTTATAGATGGTCTGCACACACACACACACACACACACACACACACACACACACACACACACACACACACACACACACACACACACACACACACACACACTTGTACATACTGCATTCATCCTGTTTTTACACTTTAGTTGCTGTTTTTACTTTTATACTGTGGGTGATGGAAAACTGTACTCCTTGTTTGCGACATAAAAGGATTAACTTGAACTTTTCAGCAAATATCCTTTAAGACTTTTGACACCAGATCAATTTACAAAGAGTTTTTCTATTAACTGCAGTACAAAAGAATATCATCAAGGGAAGTGTTATATCTTTCCCAACTATAATCATATCAACTCTAGTTGTTTTTCCAATTTCAGATTTCTATATAAATGCAGTGCAAAAATCATGGGGTTTTTGTTATTTTTTACTATTCTATATTGTTGTTTGATTCTTTTCTTTTTTTTTTTTTTTACAAATACCTTAGACCATTTTTCAAGAGGTGTACCAACATTTAAAATTTACCTTTTAAACTTGTTTTTCTCTGGAATTCTAGTTAGGCTTTTTTTCTCATTATATTTATTATAACAGCAGGGTCTTTTTTTCAGATCATAGCTATAAAACAGTCAACATTTTCCTCCAGTCTGACCTGACAGAGACCAATGTGAAGCTAAAGGAAGCTAACTAAAAACATTTCTCTCTGATAAATGCCTTCCTTTTTCAGTGTTTTTTTACCAGCTAAACCACATACTGCCACTAACAAGCCTTTTGTCATAGAAAAGCTTAATCAAAACCTCACAGGTTTGACAAAAGAATGTCGCTACCTTTGGTTGATGAGAATGACCCATACAAAGCTCCGAGCGATGTCACAATCAGCTGCTGTTCCTGCAAAAATCAAAAACATCCTCATTAAAATTGACTTTTATTGAGATAAAATAAAAGAAGGAAGAATAACTAAGACTAAATGAACAAGATATGCCCTTTATAATCCACAATAACCTAACAAGAAAACCTGCACACTGCAAAAACAATCCAGAAATAAGTAAAAAATGGCTTAAATTAAGTATATTTAGCCTTAATTTGAGCAGGTAAATAAGATGATTTGCCAATGGAATGAGTATTTTCACTCTTAAAATAAGATAGTTAGATAATATTTACTTGAAATAAGACGATAAAATAGTTTTTTCTTATTTTAAAAGGAAATTGTCTTGTTCCATTGGCAAAGTGTCTTACTTACCTCCTCAAATCAAGAAAAAACACACTTATTTTAAGAAAAAATAACTTATTGAGATTTATATTTTTTGCAGTGCACACATCTGTTTAAACAGTTAGCAGAGCAAGTAGACCAGCGAGAGAAAAGATGAGGATTTTTGCCAGTGGAACATAAACACAAACCGATTTTTCACGACATGTGCACCCAAACTGGTCAAACCCTGCAGTTCCTGAGTGGATTGTGTGTGAAGGATCAGAATTTTATTCAAAACATTTAGGAATATTTAATCTAGCTTTTGAACATCAGTTTTAGTCATTATTATTATTAAGCTTAGCTGCTTGGTTATATCTGCATGTCTACACTGTCAAACAAAACAAACCTACTTTCAAATGTCCCAAGAGGCACATTATTAAAAAATGAATGCAGCATCTAGCAGCCTCCTTTAGCATTAGGCTGGTTAATATTTCATGTTGTTTTAGAGGTTGGGTTCTTGAGATAAAACAGATATGAGAAGCTGGAGTTCAGTAATCCTACGCTGTGTAATCTGGATGGGTTTTGTCTCTTTTGTTGATTAAGGAAAAGTTTGGGAAGCTCAAGATTCCCTAAGCTTTTTAGGAAACAAAGCTGTTAGAATTAGGGGAAGTTTCCAAGGCTGGAGTTGTAATGAGAATCCCTCATCAACACAAAAGCTTTGAGTTAAGTGTAGGAACTGTGACTTTATGACTGAATTTAGGTCTATAAAAACTCTTCTATTAGCTGATCTCTCATACACAGCCTCTAAAGAGACAGAGAAGTGAGAAAACAGCTGCTCAGAGAGGCTTTTAAAGAGACTATGATCAATTAAAAAGCTATTTGCTCCTCCGATCAGCAGCTCAGCGACCTCCCATCCCTCCCCCTACAATGTGAATGGGTATCTGAGGTGTTTTCCAGCCCCACCTGCTCCTCCATACCCAGGAGTCAGACCCACATCCTCACATACATCCTCTACTTCAGGGGTTCCCAAAGTGGCAGACAGCCGGGGTCATTGTGATGCGATCCCTCAAGTGTGGAGGGCAAAATATATAATAAAATGCATAAATGTCAATGCCCAATAAAATGAATAAATGTACTATGATACAGCTATGGTATATGTAACATTTATTTATTTATCTAATACATGATTCAAACATCCAAAGGGTACCATTAAATTGTAAACTGCCCAATTTAATATTTAAATGTTCAATTAATAAATCAAAATTACATTTAACAATGAATTGAATAATTAAATGTGAAAATTATGAAAATTATTCATCATTTTCCCATTACATGCATAAAAATAATCAATTAAATAATATATTGTAAATTTAAGTTAGACAGTTTTTTATTTTAGTTTAAGATTTACAGCATAAATGGCCCATTAAATAATTACACAAACATTACAAAAACGTTTTTAAAAAATGACTGTGAATCTTCACCAGCATACATATACAAAAATAATAAATTAATGGTAATTTAAAAGAATAAATCAATTCAGTTAAAATTGAATGCAGTTTCTTTAGGTGTAGATAACTATAAAGTGAGGCAATTATGTTCTTTATGGGGTCGCCAGTCTGTGATATTGTTATTTTTGGGGTCAGGGGGTGAAGTATTTGCTCTACTCCCTAGCCTCATTCACAGTCCGATGGGCAACTGAAAAGCAGCCAAGCAGAAAGATCCTAGGACGCCCCTCTGATCAAAGAGAAAAGCTACACCTTATTTTAACAAAACCCACAAAGCTAGAGTTAAAGTCAGACCTGCTGGAACAGAAACCTGGCTGGGTGTGGATGTTCATCCGTTTTCCCTGTGAAGGGAACCTTTCTAAACCCTTCCAGCTTAGAAAACAGCTCCCACATTTTGGTTTCCCTGTTTTAACACTGAATAAAATCACATTAGAACATGTGAATTCTTAAATAATCTTGAAACACCTCTACTAAACTTAACAGCAGGTTTGTGGAAAAACAATAAATTCAAAAGTTACATTTTCTTTAAGCTTATAGAAACTACTTGTCAGGAAAATCCTTCTGACTAGTAAGAAAAAAAATCTGAATATAAATCTGCCCTGGATGGGGTTTTACATGAGAAAAGTAGCACAGAGATCCATTCCAAGATTTAAAGCAGATTGTCTTAAAGTTCTAGTATTTTAAAGAATGATCAGGTCTTTTTCTGTATTCTATTCTAATAATGTGGATCTACGCAGTGCACCTGATCTTCTCCCCTGGTTTCAGGTCATCCATTACTGTAACAATGTCCATAAAGGCTAGGTAAAAAAATCGATTTAATCGATTTTTTTGGGGGGATTTTGGATCGATCTCTAGGGAATGAAATTGATCAGTTTTACAGTGACACGCATGACGTTCACATTCAAATGAGCAGGAAAGATGCACTTAAGATTACGTCAAGCCAGACAGCTGCAAATATAGCAAATCGGTTGACTGAAGACATTAAAGGAAAATTCCGGTTTTTAACACTTTTAGCCCATTTTCTGTAGTGTCCAGGGTGAAATCGAATGATCGACACCAAAATTGACCATTGAGTTCTGTTGGAATAGTCAATATCCCTCCGCCACCGGAAACGGAAATGGGGCCTGTTTACGCTTAGTTGTAGTCTTTTCGCAAGGCCCAAGTGTTTCTGCTCCACTCTGTGTACTGCGACGTCGAGGTGCTAACGTCTCTGTTAAACACTTTAAAAAACTCTGAAAATGGAATACGAAAGGTGGATTCTTGAGGAGGACATATTGGACTTTGAGTTTGACGGTAGAGGATACCGTCGCCAACTAGTGGTCTGGAGTGTGCAACGCTTCAGATTGGAACGGGAAGCGGAAGTTTATAAGCGGTTGTGATGTATCGGAAAAAATTGTTCTGGGATTTACAAAATGCTAAATAAAACAAGACAGGAACGGTTTTTCTTCACAAAACTTTTTTTGGAACGTCATTGAACAGCGCTGACGACCAAGTGAGTAGCATATTTTTAAAAAAGAACGTTTAAGGTTGTTTTAAGGACATTATCGGACATGCACTATGGAAGCCATTCTGAAGCAGCCAGGGGGGGATTCTGCATGAGCCAAATAGCAGAGACAGGACCAATCGTCAAAATTTTGGTGTCGATCATTCGATTTCATCCTGGACACTACAGAAAATGGGCTAAAAGTGTTAAAAACTGGAATTTTCCTTTAACAAATGGGGGCTGACCAGCAAACACCCTGTAGTTGTTACAGACAACGCTGCACAAATGGTTTGTGCAGTGAAGATAATGCAGCTCATGCATGTCTCCTGTGTCCCCGCTGTATCACTTCTGCATGCTCGGGTGAGGCTTCACTTTTTCACTTTTTAAAAATAAGTTTGAATTTTTGAGACAGTTTTGTTCACATCTCAACTTTAAACTGTCTCATTTACAAGTTTGCACTTTGTATTTAATATGACAGGAAAAAATTAAATACATAAGTATTTTGAAACACAGTTGAACCACTTTCATTATTGTAAAAACAGATTGAATCGAAATTAATCGATTTAGAACTGTATGAATCAAACTCGAATAGATTCAGGACTTTGGCGAAAATACCCAGCCCTAAGGTCCATAGCTGTTTATTGATTACTTATTCTCCAGATACACAGTATTTATATTGTATCAACACTTTTCTAAGGTCCACATTGTGTGACCACTTTTGCAATAAACTTTTGCTGCTGCTGTAACACCAAAATATACCCACTCGTGGGACACTAAACTGATTTTCTATTTCTATCAAAGACAACCTGAGTTCATATAAATAAAGGTTTGCAAATCATAAGTTTATATAAAATCTGGCAAATAAAAGTAAAAGCCACATCACTGATTTAAAAAACATTTCCCCCTAAAACTTTATTAAAACCTCTATGTCACTTATGTCAAAGTCAAGGCCCACAGGTAGGATCATAGAGCAGCACAGCAATGCATTTTCAGTTTATAATGCATGTGTTTTCATTTATGCATTTATCTTAATAAGTTTATTAATATAATAAAAGTGTATTAATAATATTGATATTAATTTTTTTTAAAACAATGTGTTAGGTCCTGGTTCAATGGGCTATGTTCATTTCAGTATGTTTTAATAAACATTTAACCAGTCTGGCCCTCGGCTTGTAGCAAATTAGCTTTTTTGGCCCTCAGTGTATTTGACTTTGACATCCCTGGTCTAGATATTAACAACTCGTGTCTGAGATAAATAGTGATAATTCAATTCAATTCAATTCAGTTTATTTATATAGCGCCAAATTCACAACACATGTCATCTCAAGGCACTTTACAGTTCCACCAGATCATACAGTCAAATTGATACAAAGTTTTCTATCTAAGGAAAACCAGTTGATTGCATTGACTCATTGACTCAAATACAATCCCCCACACTAAGCATGCTTGTAGCGACAGTGGAGAGGAAAAACTCCCTTTTAACAGGAAGAAACCTCCAGCAGAACCAGGCTCAGTGTGAGCGGCCATCTGCCGAGGCCGACTGGGGTTCAAGGAGACAGAAGCAGAGATACAAAAAGCAGCTGTAAAAGGCGGCCCCGTCCAGGAAACACACAGCAAGGCAGACGAGCTCCAAGGCAGCTCCCATGCCAGAGGACGAAGAGAGCACATCCGCTCAGTCACGGTCAGAGAAACAGGACCACACTGTAAAACA